CTACCCTTTGCTCGGTTGTTGCTTGGAAACCTGGTCTTTCCCCATTAGCAACTAGCTCCCAGTCCCCCCAACCAGAGGCGTCAGATGGCCCCGGTCATGTCTAAGCCTGTCATGCTGCCTCAGTCACAGACCCACCGCCCAGATCCACACAGACCTGCTCTACGATCTGATGGCCTGGTAATAAACACATTACACTGCAGTGAATTTTTACATTTTCTCAAGATAAAAACTATTGGTAGCTTAAAAGGGTCATCAAACATTCAGACTTTTGACACAGCATGCCATCAGCCGGCTGAAGAATTACTCTTTGCCTCATCTCAGACTCCTGATGAGTTTCCCTGATTCTCCAGCTGTTTCCCAGTCTGTCGTTTTCATATTATAAAGGTGACCAGTTAATCTTCTTGTAATAAATATGGATCAAACTGGGCAGGTTATGAATTTTAAAATCTGCATTTTAAAATTCAACAGAAGAGTCACAACAACACACATCAGCACTGATATGCTGAAACGAGCCATTAAGTGATTATTATTCATAATAAACAGGCATTTTTGGGCACAACAAAACATTTGATGGCATTAATAGAATTAATATTTTTTTCTATTTTATTATAATCAATAAAATCATCAGTTTCTTAGTAGCAATTGGTAGTTGCTGGCATAGTGTAATGTCAACGTAAACAGCCAGCGATGGTAAGCTGAAACTATGTTACAGGTAAATGTAGCTAAATGTGGTCAGAAGTCACCTGGACTTTGAACCAGAGGGGGCAGTAACACACTGCTGCTCAACCTGGTCTAAAGTGTTCAGACTGGACTAAAAGTCTTTACTTCCTTTTGTGTTTCAGCCTCCTGAAATGTTGAAACGGATGGTGCCTTTCAACTCGTCTTTTAAAACAAACAACAAGCGACAAGTAATCCATATGTCACCTTCTCCGTTAATACTCTGCAGTGCTTTTCTCCTGTTCTTTTTTTCTTTTTTTTAATCTCCGTGCTTACGCCTCAGGTTTGGCTATTGAGTGAAACCTCAGTGATGGCCCTTCTTCATTTTTCCCCATGTGCATCACTGTCTTTTGATGTAGCTGAGCTTCTATTGATTTGGAGTAGACGATGGTATTGTCTGCTCCATAAAGGAATGCATGTCAAAGGTTTGGTTTTACAGCAGTGATGCTTTGAACTCTCTCATAGAGGCTCACTGAAGACTCCAAGTGGTTGAAATATCTCTGTCTACGTGTTTCTTGTACAGTCTACATAACCAGAAGAAAGGAACACGGTTGCTTTAGTTTAATATTTAAACACTACACCTGTTTGCATTGCTTGATGGCTCCTCTCTCCAGCCACAGCAAATAAAAACGTACATTACCAATGAGTTCGTCTTCTATGTCCAACTTTGAGCCACTGTGTAGCAGGAAATGAGCCTCTCTGACTCATCATAGCTGCGTAAATGTGATGTCCGTTTGCTCTTATTTCGTTCCTATGAAATTAAACAGCCATTTAGAATGATTTGTTTTTCTGCCTGTGCGTGTTAGTGTGAATTATTGTCTTGATAACAGAATTAAGGGGTGAGGCTTTCAAAGCAACTGTGTAACGCCTTAAAAGCCAAAGTGCTTTTTTTAAATAAATGACTGTGTTTCCCCTTTATCAGATTAACATAGGAGTGATTGTCAAAGGAAATCTGGCCAGCACACCATGCAGTGACTTGTTAAACAGCTCATGTCTGCAGTGATGTACTCTTTATTAACTTCCTGTTGACATATTGATCATTTTTAATAAACTGCCTTTTGATTCTCTTTCAGGGATTTCAGAAATATGTGGATGACTTTGACCCCTACTCCATGGTATCGTATGGCCAAGCCCAACACTACAGCTATGCAGAATGTGCTGCAGATCACAAATAAAGACTGTTTAGATTAATTCAGTCCAAA